ATAATTTTTCTTTCTTGACTTAAAATGTACAACTCAATTCGAATGAAGTATATGTCGGGATTGTGGAAGAAACGCATGGAATATATTTGTAACCAATTGATACGCTTTCTACAAGATGTAATGAAAGATGATTCTTTTTTTAGTTTTGTTTAACTAAAACAATAAAAAAAAATCTCAAAAAAAACAACAACAGGGGTGGGAATACGACATCATCTATCTCCAATCTACAATAAAGTCCTTTCAACAGTTCCAAGAAGGCTCCAAACCCTTTTGCACCACTCATGTGACCCTGATGACACAGATAAATCTCCAGGTGACCTTAATGACTTGCTAAAAAAATGCAAATGTCCAGCTGTCTGCAAGGAGTATAAATCCTTCCATTCCCCACCATCCAGTCAGAGCTAAAGAAGCTTCTTGGATGAGAAGTGAAACGTCTTCAAAGAAAAATCAGAAAGTCCAGTTGCCTCTTGAAAAACATCTTTGGGACATCCACAGCTGAAATGCCGCAGGTAGGTTTGATGTTTCTCTATAAAGATTTACATACAAATCGGCCTTTCTTAATAAAATCTCCATGCAGCTCTGATCATAAAATAGAATAATGAGTCTGAAAAGGTTCTTGGAGATCTCAGAGTATCATATCATCTCACACAAATGTCTGCTAATCTTTTGCTTGAAAACTTCAGAGATAGAGCGCTGTTCCAGGAAGCAAACCTTCCATGGATTAATATTTGTCAGGGTCATGATGTTCCTCAAAATTTCCTTTTGAGTTTGGATTTCAAAAGCTTCTTCCATTGGCCCTTATCATCTTAACTAGGAACTATGGAGAATAAATCCATTCCCACTTTGTTTTGATAGTTCTTCAAATATTTGTAAAATGCTATGATATCTCTCCCAGACTTTAGTACTTTAAGTCAAACATATTTAGCTTATTTCTTCATAGTATTTATCCTCCAACTATTCACCACCTTTTTTTGCTTTTCACTAGATTGTCATGGAATGAAGAGCTGGCCTTGGAGACAGCAAATGAATAAAGAAATTATTAATAGGAGATTTTCAGAAAAGAGAATGTAGTCATGAGAAGAAGGAAGTTTGAGAAGCAACTGAAAATAATCTTATTTTGATTCTCTTTAGCATAAGATGGGACAAAGATAAACTTGGACAGGTTGTCAAGATTTTGCTATTTTATCTTACTAGAGTAAGTAGCACTACTGGAATCTCTGGAATTTCTTGGTCTGATACAGATGTGGTATTCATCCAGTTCTGAAAGGTTCTGGAGAACCAGTAGCAGTACCACTGCCTCCCAGCTGATCTTCATTTGTTGCCCTGAACAGGAGAACAGAGCTGAAAAGCAGGTTAGTAGAGCGGGGAGGGAATGGGGACTTTGCAGTATCCTTCCCCTGCCATGCCCACAAAGCCATGCCCACAAAGCCATGCCCACAGAACCAGTAGTAAAAAAAACCTGAATCCCACCACTGGTCTGATATATCTTGAAAAATTGACATTATTTGTTCTAGTTCCCCAGCATTTTTCTCATATTGTACCAACTAGAACTGAATGCATTATTCAATGTGTAATTTGATTTGTGCAGGATAGAACAAAGACCACATAATTTATCTTTGAATCTTGACCTGAATCATGCCATTCTCAAATTTGCCATTCAAATCAAGTCGGCAGGTTCTCATAGCCTAATTAGCACAACCCAACCGGTAGCTTTTATGTGTGTATATTATTTTACTCCTCTTTGTCTTTAAGGTACCACAAGAGTACGTCCCTCACAACTGCATTCAGGAGTAATTCTAAGGATCTTCTGAGGAAGAAATTATGTATTCACCATCACATGCAACCATTATTCTCAGATAATTGCATTAAAAATCCCTTCTCTCTTTTAAAAATCTGTACAAATATTTTCCACAAAAGCTTATTTTTAATGTATGAATAACTTTAAAATTAGATTTGAACAAATTGTCTTAAAGTTGATATACAACTGGGAGGTTGGTCTGTTTTGCATCATCTTATATTTTGATGAGTATAGGTTGGAAATTTTCTCATTTTCATTTGCAGCACAGATTTACTGATAATCAGAACTTTTGAGAAAGTTGTTTATCCCAACATGGAAAATCTATATTGTGTTTAATTATTACTTCTAGTTGCTTGATTCTATTTCTGCATCCACCATTTTTCTTAAATTCCATAAGATATTC